GATCTGCTATGTATTCAGTCTTGCCCGATGTTTTCAAATACTTGGAGCACTGATGGGAGTAAAATTCACTAATAATGAAGCAGCAAGCTCCCTTGGGTTTGAGGTATGCAAAATACTGTACTGCAAGTATTCTTGCAAACGAAAGAAGGTTCAGAGCCCTAAAACTACACAAAAGGAAGCACCACTATCAAGGGAACTTTTCCAAAGTTTCTACAAGCCCAGTTTTTCAGGATCAATAGGAATTCTCACTCCATGTGTCTGTCCAAAGAAGTGCAATAACTGATGGCTATAAAATTAATTCCAGCCATTTATCACCAGGAAAACACTTGCTACTGATTGTGCTGTATGCAAATTCATGAACAGCAGGATGGAAAAGACCTCTGCAATGCGAACTCTGCTTTGAGCACCAAAACCTACAGTCATACAATTAACACCTAAGGAAAACTCAAAGCCGGTCATCCACTGCAAGTCTACCACGACAGCTGTCCTAAGATAATAAAAGTTCTGCATCCACCCTTGCAAAATCATTATTTATGTATCCAGGTAGACAGAGGTATAGCAGCTGAAAATCTATACAATCAGAAGACTGATCAAGAAAATATGGCATGAAACCTTACTTTGATGAAAATTTTGATCAGAACTATGAAATATGTAGCTAGAGCCTTAGAAATAATTCACAGTACATTTAATGTTGGAAGGAAAAAACATACTTGTTTGAAACGTTTGCAACAACGATATATTTTTTATGTATAAAAAGTTAATTTGATAAATTACATGCAAAGCTTGCAAGGGCTATGAAGGTACAATTTACATTTATCACTGCCAGATGGGAGGGAGTCATCACTGAAGATCATGTACCGTACAGAGTACTGCTCTAGCTTATCACTTGGGGAACGCTACGGGATCTAAACAAGATCTACAGACATGGAAGTCGTCTTTTAGGCAACGCGATTTTGTATGGCAGTGTATTACCCATTTCATCTTCTCTTTTTTGACGTTGGTAAAAAAAAAATATAATTATTTAGGTTAAACAAGATCACAAAAAAAATAGCAGCTTTTTACAGTGATCCTGCAGGAGGTAAAGATAACATTTGAAAGCAAAAAATACTTAAGAAATAATAATACAAAATATTTTTCTATCCCAGCAAGTAAATAACCATTAATTGGTGCAAGTCAGAAGGAACTTTATCAAAAAGCAGATTAGTTTGGATTGTCTAAAGAAGTTTTTTGTATTTACTTTTTGAATGTTTACATTGGTCAGGTCTAACATAAGCCACTGTATCTAACTGCAACAACGCTTACTATCCCTTATGTTCCCAAAGCAATTAGAAAGAGGGATAAAACCAATAGAAGACCATACAGAAGAAATAAACTTAACAGTGGTAATTGATTAAGACATTTTCTCACATACATCTCTAATCTACACAATGCAATTGCCATAAATGTTATACTTTTCCAAATGAGGAAGTGAATCAAACATTCTTATCCTCCAGAAGCATAAAACTACTATCAATCACATGGCAACGCATCTAACAAGAATTATGACAATCTGTCCAACTCCTCGCCTACTGCACTAACTACCAAAGTATGGGGTTACACATTATTTCACAACAAATACGCCTTTAAAATACAAAAATTAGGAATAAATATACTTTTTAATAACACATTTTCCTGTAAAGTATTTCTTTAAATCTCACCAGAAAGGAAAAAAAAAATTAGTCCCACTAAGACTTGCAATATTATTAAACATTCACCTGTTGAAGTATATCCTAGCATCAGGGTATACTTCAGACTCAGGATTTTAAGAGTTCTTCATTCATTTTCCTTCTATGTCTGTTCTCAAAGCAGACAACTACTGAAAAACAGAAAGGATTCTTAAACAAGACATCCTAAAAAAAATCCAAATTCAAACAACTACGTTTAAAGTCAAATGGCATACAGTAAAACTTATTCACTCATTTCCAGTAATAAGGACTCTTTGCTAGCGCCAATGTATTCCTACAAAATGTTGCAGTTGGGCAGCTCCTTTTAACTGACAAGATAGCTACGAATTTCTACTTTTCAAGAAACGGTGATCTGTCTGCAATGGATGCAAATGGTACTAAGAAAAAGTACATCCTCAGGAGGAGGATGAAGGGAAGGGAGGAAGAATTGTGCTCGACTGAGAAAAGGACAGGAAACAAAACAACATGGTTTAATGCTAACACACATGCAAACAATTGCGGCGAGACTAATTACAGAAAACAAGGGTGGAATCTAGACTTCACACAACAATACTGGTACCTTCATCAATGGATTTAAAAACAAAAAAGAGAATATTAAAAATGCAGAGATAAGCACGCAGAAAAGCAATCAAGCTCCCCAAACGCCAGGAATTAAAATATATTGTGGAAAATACCTTGGATTGATGAATCTACTTTGAAACTAGTACTCAACCCAGTGACAAAAGGGAAAAAAATTGATCTGTTTGAACTGAAATAAAGTTGCTCTATTTAATAGGGAGACCTATTTCTGAAAATCAGTTCCCATAGTTACCATAAGCTGCATTTCAAAGCTTTAACGTTGACCTAAAGCACTTTCTTCTAAATCTTTCATATAGGAAGATTTTTCAAAAGACTTGAAATACGTGAGCTTCTAGCCTAAGTTCTACAGTGAATTTATAATAAAATTACTTTTTGTTACATGCTTAAAATAACCACAGTTTATAGAGTTTGTCTTCATCTCAGTTTTCATCCCTATGTCATCAAAACACAGGATTTTTTTTTTTCCCACAAAACCACTCGCTTTCTGAAAATAATAATTCTTGTGCTAAAGAGAACATAGACTCCTGAATCCCTACCTGATTCTTTCAGCAGCTGGTTATCACAGTAAAAACCCCAAATACTAAAGAGAAGACGACAGCATATGAGTTCCAAGCATACATAACAAATCACACTCACATTATGTTAACTGGCTGTTCGCTCTTCAAGCATCTACATTGGCAAGTGTCCTTCTAAGTAATGAGCTAGCAGTTAATTTCTTACCTAAATAAATACAGTGGTAATGATCAACCAGAAATCACCTGCATTTTTCCTGTCTTGTCTAAATCTGACCAAATGTAATCAGCTTATAATTATGTTAAGTAGTTTGCTTAGCATTCTATTTATAAAACTGATTAGATGCTGCTAAGCAGAGTAGGCAACAGTTTAACACTTCATTTTGATGTTGAAAGCAGAGGCTAGGGGAGGGGAAGAGGGAGCGAGGATGGCAGAGAGAACAAACAAAACTCAGAAAAATTCCGAAAGACTACTATATTTTAGGGGGTACAAATCTGTTGCTTTACGCACATTTTAATTTGTGTGTTATTTGGTTAAACAGCACATACTTAGAATTTTGAAATTATTACTATTAAATTACTTAAATAGGTCTGAACAAGTGAATATTCAGCCATACTGAATACTGTTGACTTTTCCTGGACAGAGACAAAACGGTGCTGCCCTGGCTTGGAAAAGAGAAAATCCAGGCTGCAGGAACACGACAAGATGGCAATCGAAGCCCTGGCCTGAGGTTAAGTTAACTGAACAGGATGCCAAAAACTAAAGGACATGACATGACAAATTACTAGACATGACAGATACCATAGTAAAATGCTGACTAAAGCTACAACCATGAGGGATGGTTGGATTTCACAGATGGTTAACGGGGTTAGGTGAGAAACAGCCAAACTTCACAGAAAATTGAAGGGGACCTTTAAGGTATTGGGGATCTTCTGCGAGGCAGAACTTGCAACACCAGCAGTACTTTGATAACCACATCTGTAACACCATAGAAGGCCAACATTCCCTAGATAATGGTATGAGAAATACCAAATTTGAGTAGCAAACCCAGGATCGATAGGGGAAAAAGTAATTACGGCTGGGGTGGTTTTTTTGGGGGGGGGGGTGGATTTTTTATTTGGGAGGAGAATGGGATTTTAAAAAAAAAAAAAAAAAAAAGAGCTACAAGGATGGCAAAAGGAGGGTCAAGAAAGAGGAAAACAGATAAGCTATGCAAAATGTGACAAGTGCTGCCTGGCATAGTCCCGCCCTTGATCACCACATCCTAATTAGGACCGTAAACCAAATTGGTCGTTCTGACCATACCATGCGAGTTAAACTTGCTACCGCAACCAGAAGCGAGGAGGGTGCCAGGGTGCTTCCCCTGGCTAACAGGAGGACAGCTGGTGGGACAGACCAAGTGACCTGGTTATCCCCACGGCACTCAGCAGCCCCATCTACCCACTGCTCCCTAACACAGGTTGTCCGAAACTGTCCTTGACAAATTGCTTCAATTTAACTCCTCATTTCCTCATTTATATAGTGGACTTCATACTGCTTTTCTTACCTCTTTCAGTAAGGTTAGTTTTGGCACTGTCAGAACAAAACCAGGAAAGTCAACAGTTTAAGTTATTTAAGCTCTTAATAGTTATCTCTTGCCACTTCATCTTTTAGCTAAACATGAAGCTCAAGAGTTGAAGGTTCTTTGATTCCAAGTAATAATGTCCTGTTTTTGCAAGTAAGAGAATGGCAGGAGAGTAATATCTTTCATACAGAGTGAAAGGTACTTATAATATAGGATAGAACAGAAAGACAGACAGAGGAAAATACAGTTCCTAACTTTACAGGTACATGGGGGAAAAAAAAAAATAATCCAAAAAACAGGGCAAGGGATTAAGAGAAACAAGAATTTATCAGTGCTCATTAACAATAGCGCTCACTTTAATTGTTTGTAGAGAATAATAAGCAGAATTTCATCTTAACACCAATGTAGTGATAATTTTCCAAACACACACACTCTGTTCATCACCAAGAGTCAGACTGACATTCAATTAATCTATTACAAACTTGCAACCTCCTGTGAAAGAATACTGCTCCTTTAAAAGATGAAAGTAAAAAGGATTGTATTATTTACGGGGGAAAAAAATAATCGCAAAAGGCTTATATTTGATGCTAATTTATATTTATAGCAATTGTTTTAGTTACCTTTTTGTTTTCTTGTAGTTTTCCAGCTGTAAAGTCTGCACACATTTGTATCTTTCCAACTCACACTGTTCACATAGGTCCTCAAGACACAATAGATGATTCTCCATTTCCTCAAAGTTTGCCTCTAGCTGGGCTATAAGAAATACTTATATGAATATCAAATTGTATCAATAGATGGACAACTCACCTGAACAGAAACAGGAATTCATAATGGTACATAATTAGCATTGTAATAGTTACACACATATAAATGGCTCAAAGACAAACAAATCTCAGTCCCTATCACATAGTAAAGAGTGACAGCAGAGCCACGTTAAGGGAGATCTATCTGAGGTACCCTTTGTAGTAAGATGCTGAACGACTATATTTGCCTCAGCATCTTGGTCTCCCAGGCTTGTGCTCTATACTTCACGAAAAGAAGCATCCAGAACTCATAACGCAATTTCGGCTCTTGGGCACACTGTCAGTTTAGCCCTTCCTGCCTGGTACCAATCTGAGGAATAAAGGTGTGCTGACCAAAATCAGCACTAATCTGAAATTATTCACATGAAGCAAAAATAAAGCATACTGGGAGAATTTTAACTTTTACATGACCTTGTGATAATATGAAATAATATAGAACTCACAAGTTTGCTCAGAAGACAGACCCTTTACGGATAGGCAAATCTCTAGATTTACCTATTTTGCCTATCCGTGCACTTAAAAACATGCAAAACATCTTAATCTCCTCTTTAACCATCATTGCTCAGAGTCTCCATTTAAAGGACATCATGCCTATGAAAAGCCCAGAGAAACCTGACCTTATCTCACAGCTTCCACCCTGTTTTGAGTAGCAATTTGGACTAGAGAACTCCCGAGGTCCCTTCTGACCTGAATTATCCCATGTGAATCTTGTATCAAACGATCACTCTCCCTACGGGTGATTAATGCTGAACTTCATGTCCCTCCTCAGGATCCCAAAGGGGAAAAACTATTGTCCCAAACTCTAACCAGCTAGTCACTCTGGGATGGAGCTGTGTGACTACAGGACTATTATTCACCTTTTTGCCAGGACCTCTCCTATACCAGAGGGAAGGTAAGTTGCAGGAGGGAGGATAAATCACATTTTTACAAACAAAATAGCAACCAAAGAACAGAAGTGAGTTTGCAATTCAGAGACAGATACACTAAACTCTTGCAGCATGTGAACTTGATTGTTGATGCAAAGAACTACACAAATTATGGAAATGATAGCAGAAAACCTAAAGCAACTCTGAGCTTTGGCAAACGGTTGTGTTTCAGTGTTGCCTGTAACAGACAGAAGCAATCTCCACAAAGCAAGACAATAACTATTAAGTTCAAGGTAGAAAAAAGTGATTTAAAGTTAATGCATTTTGGACGCTCAAAAGAAGGAAACGGCAAGCTGAAGGCATCAGTCAAATCTTGAATTCTGGTTTGGCCATTCTACTTGAAGCCTACCTTGGAGTAAACAAAATTTCAACTTTCTTAGCCATTACTCTATTAGAAACTGCTATCCTAGCGGTCCCCTAGAAAAGCAAAAGTTAAGACCTCATAAACAAATTTCCTAACATGCATATTCATACTTTCAGTTCCAACTACTTAATAAGATTTCTTTAGTCCCTATCAAGTAAGGTACTGCTCCACAACAATCAGAAAGGGAAACATGAATCATATAATCAGCAAAGATTTCCTTAAAATATTTATCTGCATACAGATCACCCGGCGGGGGGGTGTCACAAAAAAGAAAGGGCAGTTGACAGTTACTGTGGAAACAAGTTTGAGGAAAACCAGTGTTTTCAGTTCTACACATTGTGATGTGGCACACGCATTGTTTACCACACACTCAACTTTCTCTCATAAAATCCAGATGTATTCAAAGGGCAAGGGCAATACCATCACTACAGTTATGGTTGGTGGTCTCTTTTTCCTTAAGAAATGGAATTTTCTGAGTGCATTAAAATCCAAATGTCTGTATTATGCTAACTTGCTTTTCAGAATGATTGCCCACTTATTAATTCGCAAAATTCACAAACACAGCAGGACTCAAGATAATTTAGTAAGGTACCTATCAACCACTGGTTTTTTCCCCACTTAAAACCCCCACCACCTGCTTTGCTGCACTTGCTGTTGAAATAATATTAAAAGACACCACCAAAGAACAGGAAAAATAAAGAGGATGAAGAAAAGTGAATTCTAGAGGGCAGCTGGTTCCTAGCACTAGCATTTGAGCAGCCTCTAGTGGGAACCGCAGAAACCACTGTGCTCCTGAAGAACAGGAATGAACGCCTAAGATCTCGCCAGAAGACAACACTTCGGCTTTACTGCAAAGCAGGTTTCAGGTTTTTTCTTTCTGAAGTGAAAGAAAACTAACTTGCTCTTCACAAAACAACTTGAAGACTAGCTCCATAGCAATAGCACCTGCTATGGTTGTGAATTAACACCTCTCCTACCCAAATGAGAACGTATGCACTGTGCATCAAAAGAAAGTTCCAACCAAAGCTACATATTTAATCAGTTTGAAACTTAAGCCATAATTATTTGATCAGCTCGTATCTATATTCACAAATAAGCTCATACTTTTAAACAGGTATTTAGCAAAAATATGAAATCTAGAAATTAATTTCCAATTTACAGTTCACTGTAGCACCTAGAATGAATCTGCCCCAGGAAGCCAGGGAATGTTCTAAAGAATACCAGCAAGATTACTATTTCTTTTCCAGCTCTTCAAGAAATCCCACAACCAAAATGGTCAGGCAACAATCACCACCTCACTCTGAAACAACATTCCTATGAAAAAAACACCTCCTGCTTTTCATCTTTTTAAAGAGGCTGGAAAAAAATCCATTGTAACCTTAGATTAAGAATATTCCTGTATAGTAATATGCCACACTTGGTAGAAATAATATTTTTTATTAGATAGCTGAAAAAAACCCCCTTGTTCTTTAGGTCTCACCAGTCCAATAATATTAGTTTGGCCTGTATTTGTTACACTATCACAGGTATAACAACACTATTGCAAGTTTTAGTTCCTAGTTTTAATTTTTTTTAAGCATGTTAATGTTTGATCAGATTATATTAGATTGAATTATCTTCCATCAGTGTACACTGTTTTTCTTAAGTTTACCAGCTACTCAGGTATTCAAGTATTTATCTAGAACTCAACAACCTCCAAAACCAATTCTGTACCTGAAAACACTCTATCTAAAGTTTAGCTAATTTAAATTTATCACATAGATTTATTTTTTTTTTAAACTGGAATCTATGTTACCCGTAGTTCTGCAGTAGAACAAAAATTGTTAGAAAACCTAAGTCACAGCTGTATATCAGAAAATACAACAGTTTCCCATTTTTCCTACAATAGCTTTAAATGCAGCTTTCCTGCACTGTCCCGGCCACCAAAACAACAGAAACTACCAGGGAGTATTAAAGACCTTTTTTACAAAGTTTATTCATTTTCTGATTAAAAGGCAAAAAGGCAGAAATCAGAAAGGATGGAAACAATTACATCAAGGAAATTCTCTCTACCTTGAGGTCAGAGAGGGACACAGATTACTAAAAGCTTAAAATGAGCAGTGAAAGACACATATATATATATATATAAGAAGAGTTCAATTCAGCTGCAGCACTTGAAAAAAAGTCTTTACATAATTACAGTCCTACTAGCACTCAATTTTTATTTGTTTTTAAAGAAAAGATTTTAAACACAGGTAGTATCATACCATTTACATGAAGCTAAAGCAGCTTCTTTGCTGAAACTACACAGCAAGTATCCTAGGATATTTTCCCTTCTGTATTCAAGCCATAGACATTTCCAAGTTTACACCATCAAACTATACGCCTTTTATACATATATATACATGTGTATATCTACCTCATACAACAACCCTCTCCACCGACGCATTCTGCCTTGGAGTCTATGAAAGAGAAAAACTCCTCGTTGAACATAGGTATCTTTACACTACATTATTCAAATCCCTTGGGTTTACATACATCTCCCCAATATTTTCCCTGATTTTCTCAGTAAGAGAAAAATGTTGTTTCATCTCAGACAATGAAACTCATGAAAGCAAGAAAAGTAACAGCAGTTTTTAAACCAACCAACCAGTTAGAAAAATTGTTTTAATTAATAACATTATTTTCTTTAAACATTTTCCCAAATGCAAACTACTACTCATTTACAGTAGAAGTTTTTAGAGCTCTCCTAACTTTAAAAATAATTTTAAAATCAAAAAGAAACCACTAAAAACTAGATTCTTCTAATGGAATGGGTGTTCTAGATTTCTGCATCACAAAACATGTATCCAGTTGTTTTTTCAAGAGCTATCGACTGCTAGATGCTATCGAAAAAGAAATTGTTATTTAAGTAACCAAACACAATTCAGAAGTCTAAGTTCAAATGCCTGCTCCGTGAAAAATCTTGATTAATATACTGTCTGGTCTTAAATTCACTTTTAACTTGACCAATACCTGCTACTATCTAAATCCTGACCATAGGCCACAATCAATAAATAGATGATAGTAAACTAACGACTTCTGTTCCCCACAGACACTCACGTCTTCCCCAAGGAGACAAGTCTATGGGCTATTACTCACGACACTTTTGCCTCCTACAAGTACTGCTTCAGAAGTTGTCTACAAGCTGATGAAATGAACAAAAATTAAATCCTATAATCTCAGAATACAAGATGTTGCTGGAAGCATACTGCATCACTCAAACTGGAAAAGCCTTTGGCATTTTTACCAAGAAATTAAAAAATAAGTATATTTCATTAAACCACACTTTTTTCCTGCAAAGCAAGTACCCAAAATACGGGGTATTAAGTCTGTAAAGTAGTTCAAATGTTATCAAAATCTTGTATTTAAAGAAAAAGATACTACAATAACTGTGATTTTGTATTTCACAAGTTTTAGTACATTTCCTTAATGTCTGAAGAAACCATTAAGAAGTCTTTAATCCCACTTCTTAAACAAAGGGAACATGGCTTATTTTTTTTTAATGCAAATTCTGGACAAATTGGATCGAATTTTGTAAAGCTAGAAAATGGCAACTTTCATACTTAATACACAACCTGAAAATAAAGTGTGAGCTTCTGCTCAAGCTATAAACAAGGATACTTCCCCTAAGCAATGCAAAAAGTTTCTGTTTCCCTAATGGATTTTCACACTCATCTAAGCCATACTTCAGAAAAAAATATTTATTAAAGATTAGGAGGCGGCAATGGCTTTTATCTCTGTGAATATATACCCAGCCTTATTTTCTTTGAGTCTCACCAGTCTAAATATTTTCAGTTTACATTGGATCTGTCACCTGTGTTCATGACCAGCCTTTCTGAAACCAATACCAAGTTGATGTTTAACATCGGCTGTTTAAAAAAAACATGGAAAAGTGGATTTGGATCAAGGTTTGTGTGCATCCATTTGCTGAAATCAAACCAGGTATTTGAGCAAAACGCTTCTGTTCAAACATGAAGTATATTTCATATTAAGTATGTCCAATATCAGTAAGCAAATATTTTCTATAAAAATATTTTCAAATAAAAATTGGCTTCAGTGATGATTCAAATTCTGTGCTTTGAAAGCACAGTAACTGCCCTTTCCACTTTTACATGAGATTAATTTTTTTCTTCAAAGTTTTCAACAGCAGCTACAAGACACTGCGTAATACAACAAGTTTATCAAATGAAGACACAGACTTTTTACTTGAAGTGAGGGATGACTGATCATGTGAGTACCTAAGTTAAAGGGCTTTATTTATAAAAGTGCTAATGAAAATGTGTCTTGTAACACACAGCAAAAGCTGAAGAATCTGTACATGACTCATACCCATTTTAAGTCACTAAAAAGGCTCATTTCCATTATCTGAAATTTCTTTTATGAAAAACAGCCAGGGTTCCCTGTCTACTTTCAAAATGAAAGCATTACTAGATTTATTAGAAGCATATCATGTCACAACATAGAACTATTACTTTTCTGAAATGACCAAGATTAGCCAAATTACATCTCAGAGGCACAACCAGGACACAGCAGTTTATAACACTACATTCACCTGTTTTTTACACAGAATGTTTCACTTGTATTTAAAATTCACAGCCACAGTATTAGTTGTCTCTTGGAAAAGTGAATACAGTTAACATTTGTAAAAAGCAGAGTTACAAAACCAAAAAAGAGTGAGCAGAATATCACAGTAAATTTCTGGTAAATCACTTCCAGAAGCATAGATGTTGAATTTGGTATAAGTCATACCTTTCTCTTCAAATAGACTCTATAGAACTTATCAGAAAAAAAAACAATTCCAAAAAACTCACAGTGGGTAGGAGGAACTAATAAAAACCTCTAAGTAAATTACTTGAAATCTGACACAAAAGGTGAGGCTAGGAGATTTGGTTCAAATCTCACAACCTTAGCAGTAGACTTGAAAATTCATTAGTTTCCCCAAGCAGACTGGTTAATGCTTCCTTAAATCCTGCTTGTGCAGTATCAAAATTATTCTAAAGACACTGAGCCTTCTCCAAGTAATTCTACAATCAGGGTAAGATTAATTCTGGTTCATAAAACTGTAACATCAGAAAGGGGAAGGTAACCCCAATTCATCAGGATTTATAGCATTTGCAGTTACGAACTATAAAGACAATTCCATTAGGTTTTTATTATATTGTTTATCTTTGGTCTACCAGTGGACTGCATCACTTTGTGCCTGATGATATTAAAATCAGTATTTAAATAAATCATTATTTGAATTTATATTTCCTTGGAAAATAATTGAGCTTTTCAAAAAGCCAACATTAAACGGCTACCACACATGATAAATCCTTACTAAACAAGGTGGTATAAGAAAATCATAATAAAAAATGAAACATACTCCTTGGTTCAGAAAGAAATAGCAAAGTTATTACTAGCCTACCTAGGAACAAAAGCCGATTTGTGCATAGTCACTGACCACTTAAGAATGAGAAATTAGCCTTTGAACACAGAAAAGAACCCTCTTTTTCTTCACATCAGATGCCAGCACACAAATCCGGCCCACACCACAAACAACAAGAGCTGCAATTACATGAAGAATTTCTGCATACTTCCCAGCTGGTGCAAGAATAGCGCAGGCAGAGTCCCTGGGGAACTCAGCTACTGAAATCCATGCACAGACAGCAGTTTTTCAAAACTTTCTTTTGATGCAACTTGAGCAGATTTTCACGGAGGCATCAAGAGACCTACTGTTGACAGAAAGGCTTGCTACTCATCAAGCGCTGCATCCCCATTTCAAGGCTCAGTAACACTAGAGCTTTTCAGAGACTAAGAGGCCAGAACATTTTTTCCTAATTTCATTTTCAACAGTGGATCAACTGTTTTGTACGAGAGGTTTCCAGAAGTAGTCTGCTAAAGCATTCATCTATTCATCTTCTCACCTTTTACATTAAATCAACAGGTAACATTTGGTAAAGTTATAAAAATTGGAACTCATCTAACAAACATGAGGTATTTGGTAACCTTAATATGTAGTATTGCTAGTTTCACCTATGAAAAATTTCGGTATCACTTCAGAATAGCTTAATCCTGTACAGTAACTTAAACTACGAAAGTTAGCTTGGAACCAACAGCTACTCTCAACAAAAAGTTTCTGCCTTGAAAGCATCCCAAGCCAGATAAATTTCTCTCCCCTGTACCCCAAAAAATAATGTTTTAAACCAAATTATTATACAAAATAACATAGACTCAAAGAGAAGCAACTACATACATGAATGTGCACACTACTTACAAATCTTTAAGAATTTAGAGAGACTTCAAGAATAATATTTTCCAACTGTTCACACCAAGACATGCAATTGTTAATTTTTTTTTTCCAAATAATACATACAAATAAAACATAAAAAATTTTAACTGCTGGGAGAGCAACCACCACTAATTTTGCTCTTTTATAAAACCAGTTTCTTTAAGAACTACTGTTTTACAATAGAAAGGATGTGTTCGGGAAGCAAATTTAAAATTTATAATTACAAAGTTCACTACAGCTGAACTCCAGCCTAATCCTCTGTACTGACTTGAATGCTTGTTATGTTTATAAAACCTTACCTAGGCTTGCTGTGAGGCATTCCAGATCTGCTAAAAACCCAGGTATTTGTTGGAGCTGATCCTGTAGTTCCACCAGACTGTTCCTTTTCTTCTCCCAATGTGCAGAAAGCATCACAACTTCACTATCCACCAGCTGAAACAAACAGGTTCTTTACTTACAAATTTATGTACTTATTTATGAACATCTTGACTAATTTTTAGAATTAATGCACCTGTAAGCATAAGGTCAGCATAGCAACCCTATAGCACTGCCACTTGTGTAATTCTCCAGTTTGCATATAATATGTTCAAGAAAGCCCCTGTAGTATGAAATATTTGTATCAAAATGCATTGATCAAAACAAGATAAAAAGTTATTTCTCAATATACTAATGAGTGTAGGAAACATTTTATGGATTTTCTTAACTGTAAATAACATGCATCTGGAATTTTGACAGCAACATCGCACTGGTATACAGTAACAGCATTGCAGTGCTGCAATGTAATGCTTATTTAGATCAATACTCTAATGTCACTAGTCATACCAATTTAATCTTAACAAAAAAACTGAAAACTTTGCACAATCAAAATACTCTACAAAAATAAATAAAAGGAATGACAATTTTTAAAAAGTTGCCCTTGTAACAGTCCTGCTCTTCTAATAAATTTAACCGCAGTAGTTGCACGTCTTTATGAACACACTTCCACATTAGTTCAATTTTTATTGTTTGATTCTTCCTAACTTTTATTATACAACAGTATAATGAGAAGAGGATACACTGCTTAAAAATTTTATTTATGTAGGTCAGATTCTATGAAAAACAGTAAGATCAAGAGCTCTTAGGTAGCAAATGTTTACTTTATATATGGTACCTGAGATGATTCAATTATAGTTTTCCTGTTCTTAGTCCCATTACCCATTCTTTCTCCTGCACATAACTGCAGCCCATGGCTGCACCTGCATTCTGAATTCCTCAGGTTTTGAAGAATTTAGTTGCAGAAACTGAAAAGGTCTGAGCAATGGGCAAAGGAAGTTCTCAAAGATTTACAATTCTACCCACTTTCAGAAGAACGACAACTTTCCCATTTCCAAATTCCTCCAGCTACCTATTCCTGTCAAGAAGCCATTCTGTTTTACCAGGCAAGGTTTGAAAACTTATTCCAAAGCCCAGAGAGTAATGAAACGTTTCCGAAGACCAACATCCTTATTTAAATAAAACCAAGTCTATTTTTGAGAATGAGATATGGGATTTAGATCAGATAAACAGTAAAATAAACAAAATACACCATGAGATGGGGGCAAACACCACAAAAAGATTTTAGCTCAGAGATAACTGAATGCAGCTAAAATTACAATCATCTAAAAGCAATATTTTTAGGACAATTTTGTAAATGGAACCGGTAGTTAACATTTATAATTTAACACGGTAAGACTGTAGGCAGCAATTCAAGCTTGAGATTTTCACTTTCCTTTCTCTATTCAACATTTATAAATGAGACAGTACGAATAGTTTATCTGCTACTGGCCAGTACCAGAAATAGGACACTGGATGAGCGGACCTTTAGGTCTGACATACTACAGTCAATCTTGCGTGCTTACACAATTCTTATTTTACCGAGCCCTGTATTTTCTACTTCTATAAAAAAGAAACAAAAAACCACAAGCAATACATATTTTGGATTCGCCCAAAAGTAAGCATCTGAATTTAATGGAAAATTTCGAAGTCTTCGGGGAAGTTTTTCATTCTAATTTTCCCAAACGGCCATAATATGTGAGATTAAGGTTACATTGGCTTTATGCATATGAAACCTCACATTGTTTTCAGAACTACAATTTTTAAAGCAAACTATTAGCAAGTATTACAAAACTGTAAGCAAGTCATTTAAGAGATGTTCTTAAAAAAAAAAAATATCGTCATGAGCAGTAAAACACACAAAGCTGGCAGGGAGAACTTCATCTCTAATAACTGAAGGTTTCCACTGGAACACATGGCAAAGGTGGGCCATGCTATTAGGCAAGAGAAAGAAGAACATAAGGTAATATCTTTCTTACCCTAAATACACCTCTTCACAATACATTAAGCAGTGAGTTTTTTATCCACTGGAAAAAGATGCAGAGAAGGCTCCTAAGGAATCCAAGAGTCAGGGAGGATGCAGCCGGCCAAGGTGAAGGTTTCAGCTGGGACAGAGAGCCCCCCAGCCCAGTCCTGCTCAGCATCATGGCCACCCAGCTTACATTGTCTATGCCTTAAACGGGGCTTGAAATGGAAAGTCTGGTGCACAGCAATGCATTGGTAGCATTGGCACTGGAAGTTTTCTTTCCCTTCATTCCAGAACTAAACCACACAACTTGTCACTTTACTCCCACGGCAGGAAAACTGAACAAAATTAGGAGAAAGCACAGACGCTTCCTGAATCTTTTCAGCCGGACAATCAAATCTTGCCCTTTCCTGTCCATTAGGAGAGGGCAGCAAACAGTGTCAGAGCAACAGCCCGACCCCGATACTAACCACCGCCATGCCTCAACCCCAAATATATTCTATACTTCCCCAGCGCCCCCACTGCTTTTAAAGAGCTACAGCAGTAACACGCAACATCACTTTTGCAATTGTTTACATTGCATCACATTATTTAATGTTTGCATTCCATTATTGTTTACATTACTATTTATTGTTTACACTGCCATTTATTGGCAATGTTAAGATGACTTAAGCAGTCTCAAAATAATATTCCTAGCTAACTGAAAATCTTTCAAATAATGGCAGCAGAGTGCAAAAACTGACCAGCTGAACTTCTGGATATGTCTTATTTTTACCATCACTTTCTTGTCACGTTCTGACAAAGTCATATTTCTCAATATCCTTCTCTAACCTAATACATCCCACAGAAAAAGAGTAAGCTGATATAATTAATATTTTTTGCTTAAATGCAAGTAGTGATTGCAACTATCTGAATAAAGGACAGAAGACAAGAAATTCTGGGTGTCAATGTATCAGTTGAAAAGCACTTTAAAAGCACTAGGAAATTCTCATACTCAATGTTTGCTATAGAAATTGAAATCTTAGAAAGTAAACAGGAGAATGAACTTCAGATAATTCTTGTTAGACGATACCTTGTGAGAAACATGATCACAGAGAATTTCCATTTTCACGGTATCTATATTTAATGCTTTATTAATTGTAGGCTGAGTACCATCAAATCTGGAAGAGCTGTGAGAAACAAGAGGAACTGGACATTCTGATCCATTTCATCAGCTGCCTGTCAAACACCATCTTAAAACCACAGTAAAAAACAAGGCAACTTGGCATTCTTCCCAAGCAACAATACAGAGTATTACTTTTTCATTATACTGGCTGTACTGGATCCAGCTGGGATGGAGTTAATTTTTCTTCATAGCAGCCCATATGGTGCTGTGTCTTGGATTTCTGACCAAAACAGTGTTGATAATACACCAACGTTTTGGTTATCGCTGACCAGTGTGTCAAGGCTTTCTCTCTTCCCCACTCATTCCCACTCTCCCTGCAGTGAGCAGACTGAGGGTGGGCAAGAAGCTGGGAGGGAATAGAGCTGGAACAGTTGACCATTGGCCAGAGGGATATTTCCTACCATGTAACATCATGCTCAACAGTAAAAACTAGGGGCTCGGTCTCCCAAGGTAACCATTGCTCTGAGACCAGCTGAGCATCAGTCTGCTTGTGGGAAGTTTTGAGTGATAGCTTTTGCATCACTTGTTTACCCTCTGCCCTTCAATTACTAAACTGTCTTTACCTTGAAACACGACTTTTCTCATTTCTGTTCTTCCTGTTCTCTCCTCTGTCCCACTGGTGGGGGAGTGAACAGGGCTGTGTGGGTGCTTACCTAGTACACAGGGTCAATCCAGTGTGCTGGTACTAAAAATTTTAGTTTAAAATTATTTACACTTTGAAAAATATTTCAAGTGTGGCACTGTTACTTTTTCTTACCTCTCCAGCTTTTGCACAATCTTTGGCTCCTTTGTGAAGGGCAGCCCAAGCATCTTCATATCTGAAGAGAAGAAAGATAAATGACTGTTCTTACTGTGTTCTTCTTACAAAGGAAGAGGATTTCATAGATGCCACTGTGCTCATATTTACAGGGACTATCACAAATAACAGTTTAAAATGTCGTACAGTTCTTTCTGGTATTTACTGTTCTACTAAGACAAATATACAGTAAGAAACTTCTTTCAAAGAAAAAGCGATTCATGTTTTTTACCTGCTAGCTTACTTTCAGAGCTAAATGGACCTGCAATATTTATAAGACTACACACAAGAGCCTTAAGCACTACTTGGAACACAATTTCATTAAGAAAATGAAAAAAAAAATTAACAAGATTGTAATCACATCCTCCCTCCCCCCCCCCAAAAAAAAAGGGTACTAGATTTTTTTTTTTTTTTAAGAGAAAAATACAAAGGAAATTTATAATGCAGATAGCTTCTGTTACTCAGAAAAAATATGAGCAAATATTCAGGGAATACATTATCTTTTCATGGTAACGACAGGCATACTGTCTCTATTGGAACAGAACAAAATCGTATCAAATAGGTAAGAGTTATAAAACATCAAATGAAACCACAGGCTGGGCCTCGCTGCTGGTCTCCTTCATCCCAGTGCATTAGACCATGAACTAAAGTCATCTTCCAAACGTTGCTTTTCCTCCAGACCTTCTGTTTCATTAGCATGTCAGCACTTCAGGATTGGGCAAGCTTTAAACATATTTATCATTTGGTAACCACCCCACTCCAGTAACTGCAGAACATCCAAAAAAACTACCAGTAACACCTTCATTTTCTTCCCATTTTCTTAACCTAATAAAGTTATTTCTGAAATTATAGAAAGCAGACACTAACAAAGAAATGGAAGGTCATACCTGCTCAGTAATTCCAGTCCAGCAGAAAACTCTGGCAAACACTGAACAGTTCTATAAAACAAATTGTAAAATATACAAATATTATTAATAAATAGAAGGTTGTTACAAAAATTGTTTGCACACACATCTGCATTTGACAGATATGCTGACCACAGAAATATTCCCTACTGTTCACTTTCACAAACATTTTCTCAATTCTGGTTTACAATGCGTTACACAGTGTATCTTATAAGAATATTCCAAAGCTAGGGTGGTTTTTTTTTTCCCCCTTGTTATTTTATGGTAGCCCATTCTTACCTCTTTTTGACTATGTCCATTAAAAACAACTTTTATGAGATAATTTCTTAGTACAGTTAACAAATACACAGGATGAATATTGTTTTAACGTAAAACAGTAGACAGAAACATTCTGAAAATAAGACTACTATACAAGTTCTTTAGGTCCCTCAATAAAGATAGTGCACTTAATATATTCCACATTAAAAATACATACTAAGCTAAAGAACCTTCGCCAGTTTAATGCTCTAATGATCTCCTATTGGATGCATACATTTTCATTAATAACAGCTTGCAATATAAAGGCAACTTATCATAACTTAAAGAAAATTAACAATGCAGCATTTTTAAGGATGTAGTACATGAAGATCTTGATGTCATCCAAGATTTGTCTCTTGGAAGATTACCAGAATGTAAAATGTTTCGCACTGTCATCCAAACAATTTGAATGGGAAAAAAACAAATACCACAAGTGAAACCTCTTTTTCGTTAAACCAAGTGACTCGGTGAGGTGGGAAGGGACCTCAGGCAGTCGCTAGTGCAACCTCCTGTCCAAAGCAGGGCCAGCTATGGGATCAGACCAGCTTGCTCAGGGCTTTGTCCAGTTGCAACGTGAAAACCTCTGACGGCAGAAACTTCACAGGCTCTGTGAGCAACCCATTCCACTGCCTGACTGTCCTCACAAGGAAAAAGCTTCTCCTTACAGCCTTTTCCTGTCTGAACATCTCCCATTTCAACTTATGCCTATCGCTTTTTGTGTTCCCACCTCATAACAGTCTCCTTGATAACCTCTTCATAGGTAACGCCAGGCTCCTGTTAGGTGTCCCCAAAATTATCTGTTGTCCAGGCTGAACAAGCTCCAGTCTCAGCCTTTTGTCATACACAGAGTTCCAGCCCAAATCATCTTGGTGGCCCTCCACTAAACTTGCTCCAGGTTATCAATGCCTTTCTCACGCTGAGGGCTCAAACTGGACACAGCAGCTAGATGTGGTCTAAGGACTGCTGAGCTCAGGGGATAACCACCTCCCTCAATCCTACTGCCTGTGGTGCTGTTCTCACAGCACAGAAAGCTACTGGCCTTCCTCACCGCCAGGCATGCTGCTGGTTCACATACAGCTTGCTGTCCGCCAAAACCCCCAGGGTCTTTTCAGCAAAGCTGCTTCCCAACTAGTCAGTCAGCCCCGGGCTGTATTGTTGCAGAGGATACTTTCTTCCCAGCAAAAGATTTTGGATTTGTACCCCTTGAACTTCATTAAGCACCTCTTGGCTCATATGGCCCTATGGGCTTTTATGGGTCGAGTTCCCCAAATTGATCCGCATCCACTACCGGTCAGTCTCTTCCACAAACACTTTTGCTAAGCACAGAGGACTGGGAGACCTTGTTTGTGAGGACCAAAGCAATGAAGGCACTGAGTACCTCAACAACATCTACATTTGCTGTCACTAAATCATCCACCCCGTCCATCAACAATCCCATGTTTTCTTTGTTCAACCTTTTACTACCAATGCAGGGCAAAAAGCTCCTCTTCTTGTCCTTAACATTGTAAATGTCAATTCTAGGTGAGCTCTGGCTTTCCTAAGGCTATTCCTGCATGCCAAAGAAGTTAGCAACAAGGTATCAAGAAGTTACCCCTTGCACCCTCCAGAACTCTTCTTGACTGTATCCTGCTGTGTTGTCCTTTCAGTAGATGTCAAGGAAGTTAAAGGCCCCCCACAAGAATGAGGGTTTAATGATACGGAGAATTCCCTAAGTTGTTTAGAGAAGATATCGTTTACTCCCTGATCCGATGGTGAACGACAAACTCCCATCGCAACACCACCCTTACTGGCCTCTCCTCTGCTCCTGACCCACAAGCTCTCAGCCATCCTTACAATCAAGTTAAGCGATGTTTGTCCCAAAACTTTATTGGCAAAGCAGAAGTCGCCCCGGCATTCCCCTATTTGTGATGATACAACTGGTTTGCCCAGTGTTTCACAAAAAGTGATGGGTATATTTACAGTACATCAGATGAACCAAAATATTATGGACTGGAAACATACAGAGAAGGCAGTTGCCTAAAATAGGTTTATTCCAACTTTCACCTATTCTTAGTCTAGTTTCTGTGTCTTGTCAATATAACCAGCCTTCTGTTAAAAAACCTTTACTTCCAAAACATCAAGCTTCAGAATTTACAGTTTATTTCAGATGCCTTATTTTTTGTTCAGGGCTTGTTGTTTTAAAACTAGTTTGTGTCTACACACTGTGTTTTAGTAAGAACATGCTTTACACTAAAGCATATCTGAGCTTATTTGAAGAAGCAACATTCACAGACATCATTTACAAAAGTTGAGTAGTCTTTTCCCTTTAGTTTGCGCGGGTTGAAAGAATGAACAATATACTAAAATGTAGAGGATAAAAACAACGAATCACAAATCTTAAATGTTCTTGAAACAGAGAATTGAAGTACTCCATTATACATATATTTTCCACAATAAAAAGGATCATATTTCTGCTCTTACACTAAAAAAATGAATTACAATTTTAGTACACGAGATTCACACGATTGTAAACAATTACATTTCAGTGTACTGCAACCTGAATCTTGTATGAAGTACTACAATAACATTGATTATTCACACAGTTTACACAGTCATTTATAAGTTGTCTGATGGTCATCAGAAATTATTTAGGCCTATCAATAAAGGTTCCATTAAGCAAAGTATTTCCTCAATATTATGGGTTAAGCTTTTCTGTTGTCAAAAGTATATTCTATAAAGTCATATGCAAATGTTCTTGTAACTGGCTTATATATGTGAGCCACTTTCAAATTTTTCTTTAACAAGCGCATCCTAGATCAATGCTATACATTAAGACATTCAGAAGTACCTCTGCCTGCTTTTTTTTGCTTCTCTTGATTTGTCGCCCAAAGTCTTCAACCTATAAATCAAAACACAAAACCATCAGACATTTCCAATACCAAAACCAGAGCACATCTTGTTTGAACACATAATGTGTTAATTCCAGTCTATTATAGTTAATTTTATTTCAGCTTGTTTCACAATAAATCAAATTACACTCAGTTTTGTGGAGACTGTCATATGAAACTATTTCCACCAACACTGCTTCTAAATTATGAGATTTTTCTACAAGTGCATCAAGCAATTGGGTATGAAAAGTTTAATGGGAGCTATATATCCAAGTCATCCAGCTCTCGATACAGCTTCCTTAGCAGACAGGTTAAAGATCCGCAAAGAAATAACCAATCCAATCCTGAAGAACACCCTTTACAAGAAGGCATATGTGCCAAGGAAAAGCATGACAGTCACAGAGACATTTGTACCCACTTGCCCTAAGTCTGCCAACACAAAACCAGCACACACGCAACTTTTCTTCTGCCAACTATCAGAACCTCCAGCAGCATCACCACACTGCACTGCTACTGAGCATATCTGAGGCTTGTTTCACCTATGGCCAATTTCAAACTGACTAGTATTTTGCTCCTAAAAAAGAAAAACAAACCAAAAAATCCAAAACCCTAAGCAACAACCACCAACCCCCCATGCACAACTCTTTTCCACTCTTTTTCAGTCAACTCATGCACACTAGTCAAGTTGGCATGGTAGAGTGAGAATCAAAACCTCCAGCTATTCTCTGACCAGCAAGATGATGGATGTCCTCGGCCTCTATACCCTTTGAAGTCCCGGTAAGGGTTAGGAAGAAACAAAGGGCACGTAGACATGAGCAACATGGAAATGAGCTATGAGCTCCAAAGATATCCTCCAGACGCAACACAGAGATATGTAATTCTGAGTGACGCAGTGACTCGGAAACACCCTAATATACAGATATTCAGGCTGCTTCTAGGGTGAGCCCAATCACTCCTCCACTCTTGACCACCACCGATTTCCAGGAACTCGAAGAACAAACCTCAAAGCTCTACAGCAAAACAGGTGGTTGACAATTTGAGAAAAGACACGCTAAGGCATGCCTCCACTCCCTGTTAGAGAGCTGTTTATAATAGTCAGGCCAAGTAGCAACAACCACAGCACACCGAGCAAGAACACCACTGTTGCAGAAAACTCTGCAACGTGCCCTTCTCCTCTGTCATGTTCCCCAGTATGGACCCCACCCTGTAACAGCGGCACTCCTCTGCATACAGGGAAAGAAGGAAATGCTGGGTCACAACTACCAGTTCTCTTACTAGAATATCTGCCAGGCACTCAGAAGTAAAGGTGAAAGGATTTATCACTGGACTACACAATATTGACTTCCTTTCAGCAGTGTCCTCTGTACAAAGCAGAGGTAGTTTGAGCCACATCACTCAAGCTGGCAGAAGTACACAAATTACTGCCCAAGCACAGACAAACACAGCTCTCTTCCATATTTTTTTTTTTTTCTTCTCCTCCTGCAAAAGGTTGCTTGCAGGTAAATGGGTCAAAATCTAGATACCTCACTCACAGGATACACAGAAGCAGACACAGCTGAGCAGGGGAAACGGGAGCTCATTTATCCGTACACAGAAATAGCTAACGACCCTAAATTGCTCTTTCTTTAGACCACACAACCCTAGATTTAATCTTTTTCAGCTGTACATAAATGTTCCCTTGTTCCAAAGGAAGTGATATTCTTTTCTTAGAAGCCCAGGAAAATTTTCTCCCTCCCTATGTTTCAAGAAATCCAACTGTTCCCTTTGCAAGCATTCATGTGTAGTTAACAAGTTGGCCACAACTGGCCCAGCATTCTTGACATCAGAAACACCTTCTTTCGGTTTTGACCGTGTTTTGTCTTAACAGCATAAAACGACTTCTAGTATCACTTTGGTACGGTAGTGAACAGAGTAATCCAGAACACTATGGCACAGAGGCTGCACTGTCTAGGAAGGGAAAGGGGGCAAAACAGGACAAGTCATGTTCTGGCCTGAATCCCTGGGGACACCACAGGAGAAAAACTGATGCTCTCCACAGCCTCTGCTACTATGGCTCTGAGACACACATTCCCAATGGCAACAAAGATTACACTGCAGACAAAAACAACACTTAAAGACAGGACACTCCAAGAAGGACACATTAACAGAGCTGCTAAAACACAAAGATGGAAGTGATGAAATCAGAGACTGGCCTCAAAACAGAACGAAGCATTGCAATACAAGGAAGATGGCAAATTAGAGACTACATGGAAATATATTGACTCCACCGCAGGAATACATGGAGATACAGAGTTAAATGACCATCAGATCCAGCATGTTATGACCTTTCTGTTGTCCTCTTTCATCATGTGAAAAACACTGTTTTCAAAGAACCTTACACTGTACTGAGGCATCAAACCCTATCAGAAGTTCCAAAAATAACAGCAAAACAGAAAGACAGACAGCAATAAAGCAATGCCTTTGTCTATATTCTTAAGAAATTTTAATATTCAATTACTGTTTGTTAACATGAGACAGATAACATACAAGCAATTTATCTGGTTAATTGGTAGCTTATTCTATCAATTTCTCTGGACCATATACTGCTGCAAATAAGTCATTATAAATTATTTTCAGGTTCTGGAGTACACAGGCATTCATCACTCTATAGAAATATTTACCATGGGGTACTATAAGGCAGCCTCAACATTTCCAAAGACCAGGCAGTTTTTCGAAGTAATTGATTAGAACACGATACTCTCCTGTGGCTCATTAGGAGCCAACAGTTCTGCAGCACAGGCATGACCTTGTTCTCCAGCCATCCACTGACTTCAGTAACGCTCATTCGGACCACCTGCTTGTACCAAAAAAAGCACTGACACAGGGCCTATCTAAAAAAGCCCTGTGAGGCAATGTAGGAAGAACACCTTTCTACTTTTTAATGTAAGCCAGGGCTGCTCCTTCCGCTTATCTTGTGCTGCTTTTCCCCAAGTGACATCTTCCAAGGAAGGAAAAGCTTTTCACACGCCACACAGAGTACCGTGATGCTCTTTAAGCAATTACGCTAATCCATAAAACCCTGAAGGTCAGTTACTTCATAAAAAATTCAAGCGCGTTAATTGACCCCACTCACATCCTCCTCATTCTCTGAGAGGAGCAGC